TCATACTTTCATGACATCAGCTGGCGGCATGCTACAGCAGCATAAGCCTAAAAATAAAACTAAAGCAGTGAAAAGTATTTGCTGTAATATCATAATTTACGTTTTCTCTTCAAACACTTATTTACTAGTATTTATTATAGTATTTGTCAATATTGATATTAATATAATTAACTCGATTAATGAACTTGTTTATCACTATGACAAAACTGATAATCCAAACAGATACTAAAAAATTCTTACCATTACTCATTCTCTGGTTGGCGGCGATTTCTTTAAGGAGAAACAGGACTCTCTATGCAAGACCCGCCCTCACAATTACTGCCAGTGCCGCATTTGCAAACACACGTAAAATACTCGGTCCACGGCTCATTTCCACGTGCAGCAATGACGGTGAAATTGGCTTGATCAACGCCTGTTCTGCATACATCAGTGTAAAGAGCGTCCATTGACGTGGTCTCACGACATTTGCTCTTCGGATGAAGACAACTGCAAACGAGATGTTCCTCCGTGGATTCTGTGATGGTCTTCCATATAAGGACTGGCCGTTGGTCGTGTTGTAGATTGGTGATGTTGCAGAAGCTTTCTAGATCTGTGGCAGCCAATTTGTATCCCGGGGGAACAACGAACGGGAGTGCGTTATCTAGAAACACTGCTACTGTTATAACAACGGCAAAATTATAAGCCGCACTGGTACGGAACATCTTGTTTTTGGCCTGTTATTTGTGACGACAAATGTCAGACAACTGCGCGTATGATATTTCACATGCTGCAGTATATTTTTATATACACGCGCGCAAACATTTTTCGTTACGCAGTCAGTAATCAGACTCAGGAAATTGGAAATGGGCCATAATAATATACTGCCTTTTTTACGCCACAAAATATAGTGCCTGAAACGTGTTACTTAATATAGTGTCTCAAATATATATATTTGAAAATTACTTTTTAACACACACATCATGGAAATGAAAACGACAAAATTTATCTTTTTTTGGGAAGAAATATGAATTTATGTCGGTACTTTTTCACCTGCAGATGAGTATGCAGAACCCCCTCTCATTATCAATGCAGCAATTGTAGGCGTAACAGACAATTGCCCAATTTCCAGTTTGATGAAACCTATTACAAAACGGAAAGCACTGATAGAGTAATGAGCGACATTTATGGATTGATCATTATAAAATAGGCTGGAAGGTTTACGGGACCGAAGTTATTTCTCGGATATGCTCCTCGGTCAAAATTACGAAACAATGGCAGTTTTAAAATGTTCACTTATGTTTATATTCATAAAGTAATGCAAATAGCCATTTCTGGTTACAACAAAAAGGAAATTTTGGCAAAAGATGGTGGGTGAGAACTCATGCACCAATAATACAATAATACGGTTTAAAAACAGGGTATACCCGCGCGGCGGCAATGAATCGGGCCAAATACGAGTCACAGAACCAGGAATCTTTCCTTTTCCGAAGATAAAATGAAACCCATTAATTAAATATTTTACAGTGGAACCCATTTCCTAAGGGAAATCGCCGAGTGGGAAATGAGCAGTAGAAGTTTCCTGATTTTTATAACATATGCTGGAAGCATTACGGAGCCAAAGCTTTTTTCAAATATGCTGTGCACTAAAAATTATTGAAACAATCGGGGTTGACTATTAAAATTGCTTATGTAAAGAGGCATAGTAATCTTTTCGCCAATTTCGAGCATCGACGTCATTTATTAGGCAGTCGAACACAGACTGAAAAATAAACATTTTCCTCGACATTTACACAAGACAGTCCCAGCATATTTTCCCGTATATCTGTGCCATTGCTGTATTTTTTTCCTTATTCAATTACTCAATAACGGTATCAATAATGATAACAATAATCATAATTATAATAATTATTATATTTTTCCTGGACTGCAAAACAAGCATAAAGCTGACATGTAATAATTAAATGGCAAATATTTAGCTCCAAATCGCTTTGTTATACTTGACTTATTTCAGGCTCGCATTGTCTTCAAATTTTGTCATCGAAAAAGTAAATATGCAAGGTCAAGACAGTCGGGAGTAAAAACTATAGTCATCCATTTGAAAAGTCAGGAAACTAGGTAGGAAACTTGGTCAAGCAAGTGGGTCATGGTTAATTGACGGTAACTTGGTCAGAGCCGACGCAGTGATGACAGGTGAAGATGTTTCTTGGATCCCACTTTTTCTTGATCTCTAACAGCCTAGAAATGATAACAGTCAAAAACTGTGTGAAAAAGAAATATGCCCCTCGGTCGCAGTGGTAGAGGGTTTTTGACAAATGTGATGACTTAATGGTGAAAGTATGTTGTAAATTTTCAATAAAGAAAATTATTTTATTATAGTTCAGTGCCATTTATGCACTTTAAGTGATGCAGGCCCGAAAAATGGTGTTAACATGAATTTTTCATTTATTTTGGCCTATGTCCTATTTATCATGGGTGAAAGTAGACTAAGGGACAATTCCCATAACAATCGTACAAACAGGATCGATCTACCTCCAAAGAGATTCTCGCTATATTGCATTAAGTTTAAGCGTGCATGAAAGCTAATACTCCCCGTAGCAGTTTCAGTGGGCGTGACAGACATTTAAGGCTCTTAGACTGAATGCAAATTAGCAAAAATCCCTTAGGAGTTAGATCGATCCTGCTAGTACGACAGGTTTATGTGAGCCCAGTCTAAAGCAGGTTTTAGAAATGACCAGTATTATTACTTACCTGGGGTAGTTTGCTCCCCACTGAAGTTGCTTCCAGTCATCCAAGATGTCGGACGCCTCGTTCAGGTACACGCCTATAAAATATGATTTTAAAAAAGTTGAAAAAAATTAAAATTGCCTGTTATGAGGGACACAATGACGAAAAATGTTAGTAAAACATTTGAAACTGCGCACCTGTCCAACCATCATCTGCCACCGTTTTGAGATTCACAATTGCTGCAGAGTTGACTAAAAATCTCAGCTGAGCACCCGTCAATTGGCGAGCTGGTAATGGTAGGTCAAAGGCCAAACACCCGCGCATGTGCATCAACAGCCCCTCTTACAGCATTTCAAACTGGCAGAACTCTACAAACTATTTCTAACCCGCTTAGTAAATACAGATAAATATGGACAAGAGAGCTGACGAGACAGAAACTTCGGACTTGTCACTCACCGGACCCAGCATTCAGCAGCCTCTGGTGGAAGGTCTGCAGCTCATCAATACGACTGTCTTCGATGTTGTTTTCATTCTCGAACCAGAAGGCGCCACACGACCACGTCATCAGACCTCGCCTGAAGCCGGGAGCAACGGAGGAGGAGTTGTCGGCGTATTCTCTCATTTTACCTAAAAGACAGCCAACGTGTGCGCATAAGGTATCTACTGTCACACAGGAAGTGCTGAAGTCTTTCGTCCAATATCAGCTGGTGAAGACTGAGAGGACCTTTGGCGGAGGACTTGGTTCGAAAATGCCAAAAGTTCTTGTGATAAGCTAGCGACGATAGCCAAAATGGCATACCCGTGTGCGTCCATTCGGTTTTGCCATATTGTCATAGAGCTTTTTAGAATAACTGACTTGCATGTACAAGGTAGGGGTTAATTCACTATCGTGTGCTGATTAAGCTGATTACACTGATTGCACTTTAGAGAGAATCCGCCGCAGAGTTGGACCGACCCAGCTAGTGCGATGTGTTTATCTGAATGCGGTCTTTAAAGACCCCTTACATACATTTCAACTCTCCCGGATAATCCGGGACTCTCCCGGATACAGAACGAATCTCCTGGTTTCCCGTTCGGGTAACCAAATTCCCCGGCTTAAAGCGACTTTAAAAATTGGCACCACTGTCAGCTTCATAATTCTCTTCTAATCTAATTGTTTGGGCCGGGATTGAGAGAGTGGTAGCCACCCAAACCCCTTCCCAAACACACTGAGCAAAAATTTTAGAATCTCCAGATTTCAGATTTCCAGAGCTTGGTATCTTTGCACTTACCCCCCAATACCGCTCCCTCGCATTCCATAATCAGACCCATGCGTTCCACCTCCTTCAGACTTCTCACCATCATGTCAGCAAACTCCCTGTTCAGGTTACCGTCTGGCACTACAGTGCTGAACATGTAGGTCCTCCCCCTGTAGCCCGTGTACAGGTTGTCCTTCCGCATCTCCCAGAACGTGTTGAAATGAACCGGCTGGCAAAAGAAAAAACATATTGTGTATCCCAGAACGTGTTGAAATGGACCGGCTGGCAAAAGAAAAAGCATATTTTTGTTTCCCAGAACGTGCTGAAATGAAATGGACCGGCTGGCAAAAGAAAAGGCATATTTTGTATCCCAGAACGTGTTGAAATGGACCGACTGGCAAAAGAAAAG